AAGGAAGGAAGGAAGGAAGGAAGGAAGGAAGGAAGGAAGGAAGGAAGGAAGAAAAAACATTAAGTGCAGGGTGAGTGTCATCATACGCACTATCTTGTTCAGTCACAGATTAGGTAAAATCTCCTATGGACAAGGATGATGAGATGGGAGTGGTTAAGGGATACACACACTGTCGTGGAATGGTGGTTGGGCTGTCTCAACTACAAAGCACACTGGTGACAAAGGTGTGGACCTCAGTAGTGGTAGAGCTTACATATTGCTCTAACAATTCTGCCTGGAAGCTACGGAGGTAGGGCATTAGGTATCTAACCACAGCATGGTGAGCCATGCCTATAATAATACAGTGTCCTTCTCCTACATGGTAATTCAAAGGTAACAAGGGGGAAAAAAATAGCACTCACTTTTAAGGTTGACATGTTTGGGAAACTGGATGTGCCTATCTATTCTTAGTCTTTTGAAAGGCTCCAGCACCTCCCAGGGAGGCTTGGGAAAACATCCCAGGAGACATTGCTGCTGGGGGAGATTTCCTTTGAACGATAGACTGGAGGCTCACAGCCCACATCCTGTCTTTTGAACCAAGTGCCCCGAATGACTTTGGTCTGTAACAACAAACTACCTCATGATGTCTAGGCCTGGAGTTGCAAGGGCTGCTGTCCTAAAAGTCATTCCATTCCTGGAAGAACTGTGTGAAGGGAGGCTGGGGAATAAGGATGTCATTAGACCCAGATAACTATAGGTCAGAGGTCAAACTATGGCCTTTGAATACCTTTTTTTTTTTGCCTCTAAGTTCTCTTGAGCGGGGAAGACATTATTAAATAGAGCTTGCATTCCTGAGTTCAACCATTCCTTTGTTCATTCATTCAACAAAAATCGACTGCACACTTGCACATGCTAGTCCAGACACTAAAATAAGCCAGGTGAAAGGTTCTACCTTCATGGAGCCGAAAGACTAACAAATGTGAGTAATGAACAATAATCTATCAGGAAGTAAATCTCTACCAAGTGGTGCTTTTAAAAAAAAAAAGTATTATAAAAAACAAAGAAGCTGGGCAGTTGTGGCACATGCCTTTAATCCCAGCACTCAGGAGGCAGAAGCAGGTGGATCTCTGTGAGTTTGAGGCCAGACTGCTCTGCAGAATAAGTTTCAGGACAGCTAGGACAATTATTCAGAGAAACCCTGTCTCAAAAAATGAACAAAAGAAAGGAAGGAAAGAAACAAACAAAGAATGTCAATGCCCAAGAAAAATCTTTATAATGAAGGACATCTGAGCAAAAGCTTGAGTAAAGTGAGGCGGGAGTCGCGGTCCTGTCTGAGGCTAGAATGCTCTAGAAAAAAAGCACAAGTGCCAACGACCTAGGGCTGGAACCAGCTCATCACTCTAGACTAAAAGCAAAAAGCAAGGCAGTCTCTGTGTCTGGAAAAGAGGTAACACGCCACAGGCTGTGTGTGTGTGTGTGTGTGTGTGTGTGTGTGTGTGTGTGTGTGACAGAGAGAGAGAGAGAGAGAGAGAGAGAGAGAGAGAGAGGTGGCCTGGTACAGTATGGTACAGTATAGGTTAAAGATGACCTGGGTCTCACATGGGAAACGTACTTTAAACAAGGAAAGATAGGAACAGAAAGCAATGAAGAGGCCCTCTGAAAAGACGAGGAAGCGGGAAGGACATGGCGTGGTGTCATAAGCCCAAAGAGCAGAAGATTAGTGTGTGTGTCCAGATCCCCAGAGTCCCTATTCTGATCACCTGTACTCCTGAAGGAGCAAACGCTGGACATTCAGTAGGTTTTGGAGGTGACAGAAAGCAGGTTGCTCTGGATTGTAAATGGAGCCAAGGTCTCTACAGACAAGACTTCATTCATATAAGGACAACTGGTCATTGGATTTCAGGCTCACTTCAGTAACCTAGATGATCTCTTTATCCCAACATCCTCAAATGAATAGCATCTAGGAAAACATTTTCTAAATAAGATAATTTTGGTGGATTAGTCTAGAGAGGTGCCTCAGACATTAAAGTCTAGGTTCACAACCAAAAAGACAAGATAGCATTCATGGGCTACAGGAATTGTGACATGGGTATGTGGGGCTGGTACCATTCAAACCACTGGATTGCCCAACCCCAGCCAGGCCAGTTCCCCTCTGTGTATCCTGTTCTATTTCTCTATTGAGTTGTGAGAATATTTTGGGTTCCAACCTTCTCATTCTTGAGTTGCATTCTCCAGTTCAGGCAACGCTAGACACATGTGGCTGTTGAGCATTTGAAATTTAGCCAGTTTGAACTGATTGTTAAATATAGTTATCCATGTAACCACTAAGATTATATGCCATCACCCTAAATTTTAAACATGTATAATGAAAAGGAATGTAGAAAAGCTCATAACTTTCATTTTCATTGCATGATGAAATTATAACATTTTTATATATTGATGAGTTCCAATACTTTTACATAATCAAATTTTTCTCTAAAAGTCATTCAGTTTGATTGCTTTTACTTTTTGCAATGTAGTTACTAGAAAATATAAAACAATATATGTGGATCACACTGTATTTCTTTGCCCAGCTCTGTTCTAAAGAATGGATTCCGTTAATTTAAAAATGGATAAACTGGAAGCACCTCTATTCCATATGGCACCAGCAGTGGTTGCCCGACAGGAAACTGAGGTATCCAACTTCAAACTTTCCACTTGGCAATAAGTTGCTGCTGGCTGTCAACTGCAAATGTCTCCCAGGGCTTTAACAGGGAGGTTGGCTCCCCTTCATGTATGCCTCTCCACTGGATGCTTGGGATTTCCCCACAGTATGGTGGCCATCTCCAGGAGTCAGTTCTCCCAAGGATTACGTTTTCCTGAAGTCTGACCTAGAATCCAGAACAGCAGCACTCTTGAAATAAGCTGTTGACAAATAGCCACAGAATCTATAGTCAAAGAAAGACTCTTTCTCAATGGAAGAAAGTCAAAGAATTTGGAGGTCACAGAGAAAGCACTCAGTAGATTTTAACTGAATTAACAAACCTCAAATTCTCATTTGAAAACTCGGGAAATGGAAACTTTCAAATGTTAGGTGTCTTTTCAAGGTCACTGTAGAATTACCAACTGCATTGGAAACTAGTACTAAGACGGAGCAATACAAACAGGAGAAGTAAACCAAAAGAAGTTGAGCCAGGGCTGGAGAGATAATAGCTCTGTAGTTAAGAGCACTTGCTGCTCTTCCAAAGGACCAAAATTCGGTTCCTTAAACTCTGGTGAGGACACTCACATCCGATTTTAATTCTAGCATCATAGGATCTGATGCCCCCTCTGGACTCTGAGAAAAATGCACTCATGTGGTACACACTCACTTGTACGAAAACAAAAAGAAAAGAAATCTTTGAAAATAAGGTATTTTTCCTTTTGAAGGAGGAGGAAGAAAAAGGAAAGAAAGAATGAAAGGAAGGAGGAAAAAAGAAGGAAGAAATCAAGAATGGACAGATGGTGGTTCTATTAGACAGTAACTATAGTACATTTAGTTAGTTAGTTAGCTAGTTGTTGGCATATGCAACAGTTACTATAAAACAATAGCTTTAAAATGCTCAGAGAACAAAATAAATGTGTGGATAAAGCCAAGAAAATCACACATGAATAAAATAGAAATGTCAGTAAAGAAATAGGAAATCTAAAATCAAGAACAAGAAGAAATTCTAGAGCTGAAAGGTACAGTAACTAAAACAGAAATCTCATTAAAGTCTCAAAGCTGTATTTGAGAAGTAAAAAGAAAAATCTACAAATTTTAGATATGATGTTTGAAACTAGTGCATCTGAGCGAC